TGTAGAAAAACAGCCAAACAGGATCTCAACAGCTAACTGGAGCAAGCATTACTGCCACTGTCTATATTGAGTTAGGACTGCGGTGGAGGACCTGGTGGCTACCAGATCACACAAAATGGGGGTTTCTGCAACTTCTAGTAAAGAGGCCAGTTCATGGAGCTGATGCCTTGTGTAATCCTGACTGCATTCCAATCCCTCCACCAGCCTGTCATGTATAATTTTAAATGATGCCCTTGGGCTTCTGGAAAGGGCAATCATGCTGGAGAACAATTCTATTATCATCAGTACCAATCTCCTACCAAAAGTTGCTTAAGCATTTTGCCGAGGACAAAAATGTCCACCATTATCTCTAGAAATGCACTGCTTTGCCTATAGAATTGGAAATGATCTTAAAATGACCTTCAGCCTTTTACAGTTTGGTGCCTCTTGATGTGTTGGAATGACAGTTACCCAGATTCTTAGCCAAAGGACCTAACTCTACAAGAATCAATAGAAGAGACTATATGTAGCTCAGGGTTGAACTGTGGAGTCCTTGGGGTTCTCTGAGCTTGGTTGTTTTCTTGCAAACGTTTCATTACCCAGCTAGGTAACATCTTCAGTGCTAGCCAAAGTGGGAGGGAATGGAGTGGGAGGGGATGGAGAACCTCTAACTCTACAAGAATCAATAGAAGAGACTATATGTAGCTCAGGGTTGAACTGTGGAGTCCTTGGGGTTCTCTGAGCTTGGTTGTTTTCTTGCAAACGTTTCATTACCCAGCTAGGTAACATCTTCAGTGCTAGCCAAAGTGGGAGGGAATGGAGTGGGAGGGGATGGAGAACCTCTTCTCATTTTTCCCCTGAATAAAAATTAAATCTCTGGTGTAGGTTTAATTCACAGAAAGAGAGACTGACTAGCTGAAAGTTACACAGTAAACGCTATAGTTGAGTGAGTACTTAAACCTGGATATCCCTGTGGTTCTAAACAATGAATAAGAGAAGCAGAATATCTTTCATTGCAAGGAAATCCATATAACTGAAGCAAGGAAGCTTTGGAAAACAGATAATGGTCTGTAAGCAGTTTGTATTGTTTTACTGTTCAGAATAAGCAAAGTTATTGCTGTTTAACTGAAAAGCTTTGACCATTTAGTAAAAGCCAAGGTATGTCCTGCCACTGGGTATTGGCTTAACACTATATTCAGTATTGGTATCTGAAACGAGTACTGTATTATGTCTTTAATTCTTAAGCTGGCAACTCTGATCTACGCTAGCAGAATGCTATGTCATCATATTATTATGTCATAGATATGAAATATACAATAATTTTAAGGACTATACGTGTAATCAAATGTTACAAAATAAAAATAAGCTATTAATGGTCTAAGAAGGCCTTTTACCCTATAACAACTTTAGTTAAGCTTATTTTATAGGAAAACTTCAGCACAGGTGACGGTGAAAGTCATCACAACATGGCAACAAATCTCATAATACATTAATTGGTGCCTCATGTCCATGTGCGTATGTGAATGCCCCTCTGTATGTCTCTATAGATTGACGCTGAAAAAGGATTTATTTTTCTAGAGAGTTGGTGGACATGCAGCAGATTTATACACTGTGCTACAGCTAAGTGAAATAGTGGAGAATATATGTATTGCTTGCTGAAACTGCTGGCAAACTCTTCTCTTCCATGCATTGTGTTATTACCTAACCCGATAATGAAACATCTGCAGGAAGAGAAGGAAGCTGAAAGAACACCAAAAATACAACAAATGAGAATAGTTGCTTCTAAAATGGGGAATAATAAGGTCATATAACCTTTTAAAGCAAAATATACAGCAGGTATTTTATAGGAGAGAAGAATGCCCTGGATAATACACCCCACCCAAGCAGATACTGTAGGTTAGCAGATGGTTTCTAATGGTCTTCTGATAGAGGTGGAAAAAACGATGGGAAAATTAGTATTTGACAAATAAGACGTGGAAGATGCTGCTGCGGAAATGGCCAGGCAAGAGATTGATTTCTCCAGGAACATTTGATGATTAGGGCTGTGTGGTGCTTTGGAGTCAATGGCAAAGAGGTGCTTTTGGGGCACACATCATGTCAGCCTACAAGGTAGACCAGACTAAGAAACCAATAACATGTAGGTCAGTACTATTTTTATTGTAACAGCTATAGTAACAGAATCTTGCATGTCTGAATGTGCTTCCCCCACCTTTTCTTTATCTCCATGTAAACTAGGGAAGGGCTTGTCTAAGATGTTTTCTCAAGTTACTTTCTTGACCCGGGCTCAGGCCCTCCTTTTCTGACCATTGCCTTGGTAGCAGCTCTTCCTCCTGTCCTTCAAAGCCATTCCCTATTTCCTCTTCACATGGATACACATACAGCACTTGCCTGCATTTTTTCCTGGGACCATGTTGCAGCTAAGATGGGAGCTGCATGACCCTGGAAAAAGATGCAGTTGCTTTAAGGAGTTGCAGACTGGTGATACTTCAGTATCCCACAAGCTACATAGTATCTTTTTGCTTTCTAATCCAAGGTGCTGCACAGCCCTATTGATTCCTGGTGGCAGTGGTGAGGTTCGCAAGCAAAATGGCTTAAAAGAAGAAAAACAGAAGAAATACACCATGAGCTCTAACTGGTTACAGAAATAGGGCAACAGAAATTCTGGATGGAATCAGAGCTAATGTGGGCACAGACAACTGTCTACCTGTTCACATGCATTAAATTTAAAGGAGGCCATTAGTTAGACCCCCTTCATGGATCACTGCCTTGTCGTGGCGAAGGGGCTTGCGTAACTCAGTGAAGCCATGAGCTATACCGTGCAGGGCCACCCAAGACGGACAGGTCATGACAGAGAGTTCTGACAAAATGTGGTCCACTGGAGAAGGAAATGGCAACCCACTCCAGTATCCTTGCCAAGAAAACCCCATGGACAATGTTAAAAGGCTAAAAGATATGACGCCGGAAGATGAGCCCCTCAGGTCGGAAGGTGTCCAATATGCTACTGGGGAAGAGCGGAGGGCATTTCCAAGTAGCTGGTGGTATCGTCTGCATATCTGAGGTTGTTGATGATTCTCCCTGCAATCTTAATTCCGGCTTGTGATTCTTCCAGCCTGGCATTTCTCATGATGTACTGGTGGTATCGTCTGCATATCTGAGGTTGTTGATGATTCTCCCTGCAATCTTAATTCCGGCTTGTGATTCTTCCAGCCTGGCATTTCTCATGATGTACTGGTGGTATCGTCTGCATATCTGAGGTTGTTGATGATTCTCCCTGCAATCTTAATTCCGGCTTGTGATTCTTCCAGCCTGGCATTTCTCATGATGTACTGGTGGTATCGTCTGCATATCTGAGGTTGTTGATGATTCTCCCTGCAATCTTAATTCCGGCTTGTGATTCTTCCAGCCTGGCATTTCTCATGATGTACTGGTGGTATCGTCTGCATATCTGAGGTTGTTGATGATTCTCCCTGCAATCTTAATTCCGGCTTGTGATTCTTCCAGCCTGGCATTTCTCATGATGTACTAGGAGAAGAGGACGGCAGAGGATGAGATGGTTAGATAGCATCACTGAAGCAATGAGCATGAAACTGAGCAAACTCAGGGAGGCAGTGAAGGACAGGAAGGCCTGGCGCAATATGGTTCATGGGGTCACGAAGAGTCGGACACGACTTAACGACTAAACAACAATTAGTTAGACACACTTGAGAACCTGAATAAAGTGTGTCTATTGTTGCCTGAGAGCCCACAACAATGCAACTATTTTAAAAGTGGCTGAATGATTCAGGTTACCTTGAGAGTCTGTGGTAGCAACTTGCCCCAAATCCTTCTTGACTACCAGAAACTCATTGGGCTGAATAATAATAGTAACTCACACATAGAATACAGTTCCATGTGAGGCACCAGAGCCAGAAGGAGGGTGTAAAATGGTTCTGCTGCATTATATGTGGAGCCCAGCTTTGGATTGAATCATGTGTTCTCTCAGGGAATAGAGCTTTTTCTCTCAGTGCACCAGTGGATCTTTCTAGGCTAAGAATGAGGAATCTGGAACCTTCTAGACTACAGTTTCCACCAGCTCCAAAACACAGCAAGGATGAGAGATGTTGGGAGTTGTTTCAACAACATCTGGGTGGATTGAAGTTCCTCATTCTGCTTTATCCAAAAGACAGTACCAAAACAGAAATCGAGGGCCATGGTTTTGGAAGGGATCATAAGGAATTATATTGGAAACCTAATAAACTGGGTCAAATCTTAAGCTTAAAAACTACAAACCAGCTAGAAATCTAGTTAAGGAAGCCACACGCCATGACATTTGTGGGTTTCAGAGAGATTGGCTTTGAGAGTCTTAGGACAGAACAAAATAATGAATAGCTTAATTAATTAATAATGAAGGAAAGGAACTTCATGAAGATGTTTCATTACTTAGTTTAGAGAGATTAAATTGACTAAAACCACACTACTGACAGCGAGTTGTACAAAAGAAAAGGTATTACAAGACATGCCTGAATAGTATTTTGACTAATTGGTCTACCTTGGAGAATAGAGTATTAGACTCCAAAGCTTTAAATTAGCCACTTTATGGATAAATGGGATCAAGGTCAGCCAGATAGGTGATGGCTTGAGTATCCAATAGGCATTGGAGCAATTTCCTTAAATCTAAATCAAAAGAGAAAATACACAGATATTTCTAGCTTCTCTGCACTCCCATAGCATGCTATTTTTATGTCTAGCTGTTCTCTGAGCCTCTGTCTTTGCTGGTTTTTTTCCCCCTAGAACAAAATGGATTGTTGAACCAATGTTTCAGGATAATGACCACCGGAAAAAACATGAACAGAGAACCAGCATGTCTGAGACCCTTTATAACAGGTAATCCATTTTTTAAAAAGAAACCAAGGCATGCAAACATCAGAACATACCTAGAGGTGTCATCTGCTTTCAATAATTAAGCCATTCATAGTCTAAATCCAACCAAAGATGTAGAGAATTCCAAAGATCAAAGGGACAATACACATTGCATTTACTCACCCAACTGATGGACCCCAAAAACTGCTGGAATACCTTGGGGAGCCTCAGCGTCTGGGGAGATAAAAGCAGAACAACAGTGTTGTAGTTAATGCTGAATGGCAGCTGTTTAGGGTTTCCTCTTCTGCTGCTTAGTTGGCACTGTCATCATGCTGTCCCGAAATTCCATATCGCCTAATTAATTATTACTGTAATAATTACATTAGATTGAAACAAATTTCGGCTAGGAAAAAACACTGCTCCTGTACAGAAAAAAAAAAAACACTGAGGTTCATCACCCAACAAACTTTGCGCTGGACGGATCTGTGAGGTTCACCCGAAGAGCAAGGTTCATACATTCTCACCTCCTTATTTTGGCAGCGTTTCCCTGCTCCCATCTTCTTTCCTCACCCGAGCCCAAAGTTGACCTCAAAAGAACCATCCATGGCTTTGGAGACAACAGCTGAATGGAACATTCCTGTCCTGAACCCACCTGAATTGACACAGCTACTCTTGCCTATCAACACAGTTCTCCCTTCTTGCAATCCAACTGGCCTCGCATCAGTTGCTAGGCAACCAAAGAAGGCATATTCGATGAACGTAAGCAGCGTTAACATCTCCATCCTTTTTTTTTTAGCTTACATTTAGAAGCGTTATTGTCTATCCACCTGTCTTAAATGACCTGATTTAAACTGAATCAAGTATATTTATATATACATTTAAGCCAGGATGCTCTGAACAGTCACTCATGCTGCCTGTGTATCTTCCCCCACAGCCGCCCGAGCAAAGCTGATGCTCTCCCAAATGTATTGGTCCAATTCCCATAATTTCCATTCTGGCAGGCAAGCTGGCTGGGAATCATGGGAGTTGAAGTCCAACACATCTGCAAAGAAAACAGGTTGGAGACCTGCAGTTTCGGTTGAGGAAGCAAAGTACTTCTGAATCTGATGAGATAGGAATGTGAAATCTGTGACTTCCAGCTGTTGCCAAGCTACGCTCAGAAACCCTGATGAGTTTCCATTAAGATACATACTGCTGGGTAGGAAATAAGGTTTACTTTTCTCCCTGCACCTCAAGAGATTTTTTTTGTTTTGTTATTTATTATAAATTGCATGTGTCATCTTTCTCTGGGAACTTAAGGCATTGTACATTCTGGGGGAGAGAATAGGTTCACTTGATTTTGTCTTTTTAAGAAGACTATGATAAAGATTGGAGCTGTAAAACAGAGTCACCTGATAACTTTTATAGTCTAGTGTGGTCTTGAACCCTAATTATTACACCACTTGGGCTCTGAAGTTTCTAACAATATGTCTTCTAAAATAATGTTAATCTCATTCTTTCCTCTCAAAAACCAAGCCAACTCTAACCACATCCCTTCCTTTCCTCCCATTACACCCCACCTTCAGAGCAGAAACCTTTACTTGCAGACATCCTGGTCATTTTGGCTTAATGCTGGTTAACATTTTGGGATTACATAGGACTATTGCAAAGCTGGTCCAAAATGGGGGAATGAAAGCAAAGGATGGAATGTGAGAGCCACAGAGATGACCTTGGAGAAAGTATGCTGGGACAGTTACACAAACATGTTTTAGACCCAGGGAACAAAGAAAACATTAGAAAGAAACTCAGTCTAGTTTTGTCTTAGCTCCCTGGGGTATAAAAGGGAGGGAAGGGAAGATGCAGTCAGATTTTCAAGATTCTGTTACTATAGCCTCTATCAATAAAGTAGAGTTCTAGTATTTCTTGAGGAATCTGTTTCCTGACCTGACCTACCTTGGAGGACTGACAGAGAAAGATCAGCCATAGTGCTCAATTATGGCTTCCTCAAAAACCATGGTTTAAAAGGACGCATGGACAAACGCCGGCTTCGTATGCTATCATCCCCACAGTTGACATGCTAACCCAGATAATCACTTTACTGTTTTACCTTATGCACACTCTGGTAAATTATCATTTGATAATTTGTATTCCCCCAGAGTTGTGAAAGATTGTTGGAAAGCAGGACTATTTGGTTTATCTGAGAAGAGGCAATGTTGTTCAGGTGTGAGAGACATGAGAAGAAAGGGTTTCAAAGAGACTCTGCCTTCATTAATGCACTATAATCGAGGCAGGGAATTTACTCTTACAATTTTCAAGATTCTGCATTTATCCCAGCATTAAAGAAACCTTCCTGCAATTTGTATTGCTCTTGCTTCATTGGTCTTGAGGCTTAACAACAGAATATGGACGCTGTAGTGCTTTCTGCTGCAGACCAGACTACTAAAATCAGTAACAATTTTATTATTTGTTTGTTCCATTTCTATCCCATCACAATCCAGTTAGACCCTCTGCAATTCATTAGATACAGACAGCATCTAAAAGTTCCATAGTACAGTTATATAAAAACATCCACAATGAAATAAATAAATAAACCCCTTTTTAATGGAATAGTTTACCTCCTGAAATCAAACTAGCCCCCATCCTATTGTGTTTTAGAAGAATTGTCAAAACGTGGCTTTTAAAACTGACCAACCAACCGACCAGCCCTGGGAGGGGATATGATATAAGGCAAAATCCAATCCTTGTGTTTGGATATGTATTGTTCTAGCGTTTTTGGTCTTTTCAGTAATGCCCATTGTTTTTATTATTGTGGTTTTGTTATTGTGTTATTTTTTTTCTAATCTGTAAGGCTGCTTGACCCTATAACAACTCTGGGCAGCGTGCACTATTAAAAAAACACTTGGAACTATTCAAAACAGGCCTGGGGTCAGTGTGTTAGTGGAGTCCCTGTCATGCTTTTTGACTGCTATGGCTGTTTTTGTCCAGGCTGTTATGCTTTGCAATTGTTTTTAATTGTTTTTAATTGTATAGTGGATGTTGTAACTGCCCAGAGACTTTTGGAGTAGAGCAGCTATAATCTAATAAGCAAACACACAAATATCTCTTTAGCATAACACATTCCTCTACAGAGCCCGCACCACATTTTAACCCAAGGCTAGGGGTTTTAAAGGCCAATTTTAAAGGTCCATTTAAATGGGGTCAAGGGAGGGGTCACACATCTCTGGGGGAATGTTATTGCAACAGAAAGGTACTGCAACAGGAAGGTCTGCTTCCAGGGCCTGATGTAATGGGAGGAAGGAATGACCTTGAAGGATAGGAGGAAGAGCTAAAGAAGCACCTTCTAGCTACTGCCCCCCTCACTTCCTGGAAGTGGAGAACTGTTAGCTGTTTCTCCTGAGATAACCATGATGAGAGTGGAAACCAAGATCATACAGTAAATCCACTTAGAACATTTCACATCTCTTCAGTAATAAACCAAGTTTTGGGAAGTCTCTTCCTCATCTGTGCAATGCATGCATATCCTTTGTTTTCCAACCCAAATTACTCTCACATTAAAGAAATCTTTGCACATGGAGTTTAATTGATTACTGATAATTTTATTCATTATACAGTCAGTCTGGAGAACAGTGTAGTTGGAATGCACCAAAGTGGGGACAATAAGAAAAGTGGTTCTTCAGGAGAAGGTGCTAACTCTTTTCCTCCTTCACTTTTCTACTTTACTGGAGCTGAGGGTAGGGGGTGGGGAGACAGGAAAAAAACAGCATGCTCTTGAACTATACATACCTTTTAGTGCATTGACAACATGAAGAATTGCATCATGGGTCAGCCAATTGAAATCATCTAAATTCCAGCTTTCATTCAAGTCCATCATTCTCTGTAGGTCAAACTCTGGTTGGTGAACATGTAATATTTTACAGGATGGCAGGAACAGCTAGCAACACCTTGGAAAGAAAACAGTGCAACATAAAATTAATCACAATGCTATCTGTTTCAGAATGTGAAGAACTGGACGGTTGCTACAGAGGCTAATCCTGTTACATCACTGGGGCAAATAGCAAAGTACGATGTCTTGTAGGTAAGATGCAGTTGTGTTGCACCCATAGAGTTGCAGAAGGCAAAAATATTTCAGATCTGCCTGAGGAACTATAGGAGACTATAACAGAAGTGTTAAGAGAGGTTAGCAGAAAAAGTAACTCTCTATATTTTAGTTTTTGAAATCTATTTTTTTTGTTTTAAACTTAAGGATGTAATTAAGCTTTTATCTTTTGCTGTCACATAATTTTAAACTCAGCATGTATACTATGCTTGACATATGTTGCTGTGATTTTACAGTATTACATAATATTTCGCTCTCCGTAGATCATTACTTTGTAGCGGTAAAGAGGTTTATCCATTGCAATGATAGTATGAACTATACTGTCAGGGCTCAGAAAGGTCACCCATAATGGGCAGGTCATGGACAAGGGACAGACTAAATACAACCCACTGGATAAAGACATTCCAGAATTCTGCCAGGAACACCAAATGGGCATTCACGACCAGGACCAAGTCCACATGATACTGAAATATGAGTGTCTCATGCCAGAAGATATCCAATGAACTACAGGGGAAGAACAGAGAGTGAATACAAGTAACAGTGGGCCTTAGGCTGTGGGTGAATTAAAGCTGAAAGAATATCCAACTGCAAAATTAAAATTCAGTGCTGCAAAGATCTGCAAAGTGGGAATCAGTGAAATGAAATGGACTGGAATGGGTCACTTCATATTTTAGGAGTAACAGAACCATTGCAGCCAGTTGCAATATTGTTTTAATATTGTACTCATCGTTAATAATAGTTTTTATTATTAACAGATTATAACAAATCAACTATTAACCTTATTAACAAAGGGGCATCGAAGGCAGTGCTTGAATATAACACCAAGGTGATAGAATGACTGCAGTTCAAATCTAAGGCAAGCCAATGAATATTACAGTGATCCAAGTCTATACTCCAGTCATAAATGCAAAGGAAGGAGTAGCTGAAAGGTTCTGTGGTGATTTTCAATACCTTGTCAACACAACACCCAAGAAAAGATGTCATACTAATTATAGAAGACTAGAATACTAAAGCTGGAAGTAAAATAGCATCTGGAATAATGGGAAAAAAATGTTCTCAGTGTACAAAATGAAGCAGGAGCCAAATTAATAGAGTTGTGCCAAGTATGCTCATAATAAATACTGTGCTTCCAACAGTACTTTACATATTGAGTATCACCAGATGAACAAACTGAGATCAAATTGACTAGATACTCTTCAAGCAAAGGCAGAGAAGCTTTATTCAGTCGGCAAAAACAAGTCCTGGTGTTGACACAGCTCCTATCATAAACATCTTGCAAAATTACAACTCTAACTAAACAAAACAAATACAATCATCAAACCAGCAAGATACAACCTTGGCAATGTTCCATATTATTAAATAATGGGGATTAGATTTAATGGATTGGATTTGATACGTAAACTGCCTAAAGACCTCAGGAGCAAAGTGTAAGAGATCATTAAAGAGGTTCTTTAATTTAAACTTGTCCAACTGCTAAGAACTGTGTAAAAATATCTAAATTCATATCAATTTTATGTTTGCATAAAAGACCTCAATTATATCAATTTTATGGATGCAGATTTGATCACTGAACTAAATTCAGATTCAGTACATTGAAGTTAAATGGGCTGTAGAAAATATTGCTAACAACAAAGCTGCAGGAGCTGATGAAATATCATCTGAATTGTTTAAAGTGTAGCAGGATGATGAAGTTAAAATGGCACTTGAGTTTTGAAAGGAGGTATAAGGGTGGACTGGTAAGGGAGGTGGTAAACTATGAACTTATATTCCAATATTAAAAAAAGGGCTGTGCTAAAAAATGCTCCACCTAAACATTTACATTTATCTCACTTGCTAGTATGATAATGCTCAAGGTTTTGCAATCCAGCTATACTAGATGTACAAACTGGATTCAGCACAGGCTTCCTTTGTTAAGATAAAGGCAAGGGAGTTCCAAAAATACATATATTTTTGCTTTTTGATTATATTAAGTTTATTGTGGTATACAATAAAAATAACTGTGGCTAGCCCCCTATAGTGCTGGAGAAAATTGTGGAGAATACCTTGGACTACCAAAAAAAACCCAAAACCCTCAATATTAGATGAAATAGAACCACATTTCTCATTGGAAGCACTAATATTGATTGATTAATTGATTGATTATATGTCATCAAAGCTGCAGGAGTTGA